ATAACCATCAAGACGCCTGTCATTTGATATAAATAAATTTTACAGAAATTTATTCAACCAATCTTTCAGTTGCGAATTCACCTTCCACATTTTATTTTAAAATACTCTAGACAAATTTGTACCTGATGAAATATTTTTCGAGAAGCATAACTGAACTCTTTAAACTTCCATCTCTTCAGCGAAAACCTTCAAGCAGTCGATATTCTCTAAATTAATAATCACTATAAGATTTAATTCGAATCTATGGGTTCAGCTTTTGGAAAATGTCCAAATGCTTTAACGAGTGTTCCAAATTGTTTTACTTCTATTAATATTATCCAGATATTTCGTATAAAAATATTTTCAATGTGTTTTAACTCTAACGAAATTCAACCTATTCGAGCACTTAGAGAAAAACTTATTCTAAAGTGATTGTCATTATTAAATTTATGTCATTTCTTAAAATAAATTTAAAGATTCTTATTAAGTAGACTTATTATTTACTATTTCAGTCAAAAAAGTTGCATAGTTTGGATTTTAGCATTTTAAATATCAAAATAATTTCTTAGAATTAATTTATTCAAAACATTGTATGACATGATTAAATTAAAAAATTGCGTTTGAGTATTTTTTAAATTTCGATTAAATTTCAATGAACCTATTCTTGTTTTAGCATTCTGTGTTGATATTTACCCTCAAAATCCTTACCATCACGTAAAATAATGAGAAGTTTTTCCAGAACGTGATATGGCACCGTAGGACACTGGGCATTGTTGAAGACTTCAGCTTCATCATCGTAGATTTCTTCATAAAGAACATACCGAGCCACTTCCTTCCAGTATTGAAATGGAGAGGGGCTTGTGGTAGTCATGGGAATAGCCTCTCTGGGGATTTCGCCTTCAGTCAGTGACACTGTCTCCACGTATATGTTTGGCAGTTCTCTTTCTTCCAAACCTAGCATGTAACAAGAGATGTAATTCGGAATCAAAATTGTATACACTCTTTGTCAATCTCGAAAATAAAACTTACTTCATTGCCTTGCATCATGATTTAAAAGCACAGTTTTTCCGACTTCTAATCTGCAGGCTACCCTCTATTTTCTATTTCCATTCAATAGATAAGCCTTCTTTGACATTGCCATACCTTCCACTTTAAGCCTCAAAATGTAAAGGTGATCCATTTATCTCAAAAATTTCCCACTCCACTTCCTTTAATTTATCGATTGGGAGCACACTCGATGAGCCTCATTACTTTTGGCATTACTGTTCATAAGAAATTTTGTCATTTTAGATAGCATTTGTGGAGAAAAGAGAAGATATTGATCAATATGTATGTGTATATGAAATAATGTTATATTTGATGTAAATCAAAGCAATCACCTTTACCAGCCAATAAAATTCGATGGCAAAATTCAATCAGTTGGGCACCGAATGCTTATAAAATGTGTCAACAAAACTGTGTGCTACAAAACTGAGCAATTTGTGTGAAACCTGATTACAAATTACCGTAGGAATTCTAAGTTATCTAACGTATCTTATTAATGCTTAAAAGATATCACATTATTTTTCGAAATATATTGGGGCGAGTGACTGCTAAGTGAAAGAGAATAATGGTTTAAATTCATCTGAGCTTTGTTTTAATGTCAAGACAATGAAAACGCATTGTAAAACTATATGCTGATTTAAAGATCATCAAATATTCGGAGCTACCCTTTCCAAAGGAAGTCTGGAACAAATTCAGGAGATAAATGCATTATCACGATTGGAACCGATTTCGGTACTTTTTCAATGAGTGTAATAACTTCTACTTCACTTTTAAATTAGTTTGCAGAATGGATCTCAGTAGTATGAATCAGAAAACAGTCTGAGAGATTATATAATAATTTCACTAGTTCTTTGATGGAAATTAGACAGAAATAGAAGGTATTCCGTTCACATTGTGCTTCGCTGGGACGCCCCACTCTTCTTATGAATGGGTAAATTGTGCTCTAATGTGTCTGTTCTGATTTCGTGTTTTATTTAAAAAAAATGGCTTAAGTAAACTTCAAGGTATTTAGAATGGTAAGGGAGTGGCGCTCAGACAACCAGGGTGGGGGTTTCTTTCAACTTTGATAAAAGTCCAGATTTTGTGAGTACAAATAGGAAAACTTGGAAGGTGAAAACTGAATATTATCTTCTATCGACTAGTTTCCCATGCCCCCTTTGTTTAAAGATGAAGCCTTGAGTAAATCCCTACTCACTTCATACAAATTGCGGTGTATCTGAAAACGTTGAGTCGTAGGAGGAAAACTACGAGGACTCATTAATTTACTAAATCAAAATAAAAGAAGCAAATAGAAAATAACTAGGATTAAGAAGAAAATTTCACAGAATCGCAATTCATAGGTCAACGACCTTCATACTGACATCCAGTGCAACTTTTGTGTCTAACCACCGTATTCTACTAGAATTTTAAAATGGCATAAAGGATAAAGTATCACCTTCGCGATTATGCGCCATTTTTAATTTTTAATTAATGAACGTTGGCCATTTCGGGATAGTGATGGGTTTCGCTGACTCTATTAGTAAGCATCTTCATGAAACTTAGCAATCGCATAATTTTCGTTATATTGATAAGGTAATTGGCATGTATTTTAGTCCACTATGAAAACGATTCCAATTCACCAATTTTTAAATTTTTACTATGTGTTCAAATGTGGTAGGACATATTTACCGCCCTGACTTAGTCCAACTTTGAATTTTTAACAAGTTCCTCACATTCAAATATATTAAAATGTTTAAAAATATTTTTCATTCCGTGTGCCGTGAATAATAAAACTTACAATAACTGAGTTTATACTATTTGGAGGAGAATAATTACCCAAGGTCAATGCGTATTCCTCAACTTCCTTGTCTTTAAAATTGATCGAAAAACTGTTGATAATTTGAGAAAAGTGTGGGAATACACTTGGTGTTATCACCATTTATTCTAAAGTACCCAACCTTTGATTATGAATTTATCAAATTTGGCTAATTTCTTGAGCAATACATGGAAGTATTTTAGACTAGTTCCAGCCCAAATTTTTTTTACTAACTTCAAAATTATAAATAGTAATTTTCGATTAGCAAATATTAATTCTCATTCAAATAAGTATCAGATAAGAGTAATTAGAGCCTCTAAGATTTTAAAAAAATTTTTTTTCATATCATAAGACAAACTTACCCGTCGATTTGCCTTGAGAGATTGATTCCCCAGTTTCATCACTCATCTTGAAAAGTAATAGTTGGACGAGCCAAAATTATGCGTAAATATAAAGTTTTGCAGAGTTTGTTTTTCATTCAGGGTAAATATTTTTCATTGGTTACCAGAGGCATCTGATTCATTGGTTGCTGCGCAACCACAAACGATTTAAAATTTCACAATTACTCGTTTGGGTAGGCATTTAATGTAATGCGTAACGCCCCACAAGGGGACGAATATGGGGAGCTTGAAGGCAGAGATTTGTTTGTTTTTTTATGCTTACTTGCTTTGAAAAGACCTATAGTAAAAAGCGCATGGAATTCATTGCGCACTTTATGAGAGTACGGAGAGTGCACAGCGGTAATACGGCTGATCAAATGAATCTCAGTCATTCTACCACAGTCTGGAAGGTTCAGTCGTGAGTGCCAAGACCTCTCACTCAACCAGAAATCAATAGTTGCTGCACCGTAGTGTAGCATTAACTGCATTTAATGTCTTAGCTCTCATTCTATGTAAGTGTAAATTACATAATCGTATTAATAAGTACTGGCCAGATCCCTAATCCTCTATCATCGTCAGTGATGCCAACTGCCCACATCACTAAGCCTATGGTCACTAAGCCCAGGAACAATGAGATATAAAGGTCAATTCACACTAAGATATATCTAATTTTAGAGTTCGCATACTTCCATTTCATTAACTCGGTCATTTTTGCCCATCCATTCCCAAAACCCGACAACTTCACCCAAGAATACTGATTATGCAGCCTGAATAAGTTAGTTAATCTGAAATCTATTACAAAATGGTTCTCTTGATCTTAGCAATCCTAACGAATACTACACTAATAAGCCTTTGGAAAAAAACTTCAAAGAAGTACAGCAAGCCTCCAGCATAATTTCCAGGTATAAATTGTCCCCAATATTATCTAGGCTGTGTTCAGACCATTGAGAAAGCATAAGTTATGGTGGGGTGAGACTTTAGCGAACGCTCTTGGTAACTGTGAGTGGCATTTACTTTAAGAGAAATGAATTTTGAAAGCTGACTACCCTATTGCACTTGGTCAATGTGAACTTTCCAGAATTTTCAAACTTGGTCAACTTTGTTGATATTGCACACTTCATAAAATCATAGATATTCGAAAGGCAACCGTTGGTAATAATACTAAATAATTGCTTTGCTTAAAAACAAGAATTCAACACAAGGTTTGTCAAATCTATTTTTCCGAGAAAAAGAGTAAAAAATAGCAGCGGACAGGAAATTTAAAGTAGTAAAATGGAGATAATTGCATTAATTCATTTAAAGATTTTCACATATGACTATTTATGAAATTATCATAATTACAGTGCAAATATTCACGTATGTTTAATAATGATTTTATACAAATGGTAGGAAAACACCAATATTATGATACTTTCAATCTTAAACATCACAATGCCATTATATTTATCAAAGAAAAATTTTTAACTTTCAGTTTGATTGTACGCTATAATTTACGTAAAACTCTCTGCTATGGAGAAACCATTTTGGATTAAACGATTTGAAAATGTTTTGGAGATTCTGGCGACTGAGGATCAGGTGGATGATCTCGAAGAACCCAGTCTCTGTCAACGCATTGAAACTGCTTATAGGGAGAATTTTGATGTGAGTAGAGTCAAGAATCAGTTGAAGAAAAAAGTTAAATCTTCTCACCCAAAAGATATTAATAATAATACATCGGGAAATGTTGAATATCTACATAATTTTAACGTGAATCGATCAGATGAAATGGAGAAACCTTACACTGTTAAGTTGCGGAAATTCAAAAAGAAAGCAAACTTCAAAGGTGATATGGCCGATAATAACGAAAATGAGGACGATCCTGAGAAGGATGACCGAATAGAGGACGTCTTGCGTAGACTAGAAAAACCCACGCTCTGTACGCAGATAATGAGGAGAATTGGCAGTTTCTGTGATCGAAAATGTTGCAAATATACAACCCGCATATACTTCAGGAAACCTCATTCCTGGTATTCAGCGACGGCTAACCTCGATGCAGGAACATTACTGAGAGAGAACTATATGGGAATAGCATTTGGAATCTTTATAGGATTTGTGACTTACCTTGTGTTTGCTTCCGCGTTTGCCCATGCACCAAATATTGCCACTCTTGCAGCTTGTTACATAATGATGTTTGCTGTTTTTGGCATTGCCTTTTCTGCTGACTTTAGATGCGTACTCATCAACACTATTCCTTACATTGTTGCGAGTAGAACTCGTTGGATGCTACTGATGATCGCCACAACCCTAGTAACCACTGGTCCAGCAATTAACTTCATGCACAATTCGGGCAACTTTCGGAACGCGATCGCTTGTGTTCTAAGTCAGGTTAATTCAAACGCAGAACTCGTAGCCAAAATCACTTCGTCTCCGTTAAAAATAATCAGAAAGAATTTGGGAGTGTTTGTTGAAAAAATTAATGATAGGCTGACAATATTGAGGGGCACTCTAAAGAAGTTTCATGTAGTTTTTTTCACGACTACCAATCTATTCAATGAGAAGACGAATTGGGTGCACTCTCTTGTGGAGGCTTGTGGAGATGAGGTTGCAATGAAAAATCAGTGTTTGGCTTTTTTTAATCAAATTTACTTCAACTGTGAAGCCAATCTGTACGCTCTGAGTTTCTTATGCAAATTCATTCGCATGTTTGCAGCTCAGGCTTGCAAAGCCGTATCCGGACTAAATGAGATTTGCAAAAAGTATAAAGATAAAATGAAATCGGAGATGTTAGCTTTCTCGCCAGTGAGTGAGGCTGAACTCGAAGATAGCGAAGATTTGATAAAGACGTATGTGGGCACCGATAACATCACATTGGATATAAGTGATGAAGATCTTGATATGCAATTAGCGTCTAACTTCAGTGCTCAAGCTGAGGTCACTGATTTAATTGAGGAGAAAATGGATAAAATGATGAGTGCGTTGAATAATTTCAAGTATATTATGCAGTGGCTACTAGTTGTTTGGACTCTCATTACGGTGATCCAGTTGATTTTGCAATCGGCGAGGTATAGAAGAAATTGGATAAGGAAGCCACACTTCAATAATACCCATATTACTTCTCAGTTTGTTGCTCAGGTTAGTGCATGTAAATTTTAATTTCAACTTTAATCTATTATATGCAAATAACCATTGCATAAACAGAAATATGACTCTATTTCGTGAGTCCTATGCTAGGCAACTATGTTAGGCTTGTTTTACATTTTATACTTGTTTTAATCAAGCTAATCTACCTAGTTATTCTGCTAGTAATTGCCTAAGAGTTGGTTTCCTTTCATGGCATGCGGTGGGCGGACACGGAATCTAAGGGGTCTTGAAAATGGTCGCTTTCAGTTTTGAACCTAAGCAGAGCATGAGTTAGGCGAGTATAATTGGGGAGAAATTAATTTAAATGCTGAATCCATCAAAATGGCTTCTTTTGCAGGATTTTACAGTAGAATATACAAATATTTGTCATGCCTCATCCTAAGGTGATAAACCATTTCGAAAGTCAATCTAGGTTATTATGAGTTATTTATGTGCATTACTAATCTTTCAAAATGGAGTAATAGGATGTCCATGGAGTAGAAATCCCATTTAAAATGCCCATTTTATATTATATATACATATATTTATTTTCTTTTGCAAAAAAAACCAAGATGCTAGTGACGTGATATGTAAATGAAGTGAATTCGAATGACTTTTGTTATCGCGCCACACCTATTTATGTACTATTAAATTATAATTTTGCAAAAGAAAATGATAATTAAGATTTTATGTTCCTTTTTACTTCCACTTTGTTGCGATATTATTTCAACGGAAGATCTGGGTTGGATGCTGATAAGAAACGGTTAACGTCAACTTACCTTCATTTACCTGCCGGTCCTAATTACTGGAGCACTAGTCTAGACAAGCACCTCGCCCCCCCCCCGCATTGCTCTTTTGGTCAATTTTATTTTTTTCTAAAAAGAACAGTAAAAAGGACTTAGAAGAAATTGTTCTTTTCTCTTAACTTTCACACCAGTATTACTCAATTTTAGCCATATAATCTTCAGTAGACAGATCAATAGGACCACTATCCGTCCAGAAAGAGTATGAAGTTTAGATATCAATCCAATGCAATGCGATTCTTATAAGAGACATCTTTTTAGAAATTAGATTATTAGCTCATTTATTTAATTTCAACACAGTGAGTCATTTTAATGAAAAAAATCAAATAATGATAAATTTTTTGTACTTCTAGGAGAGAAAGGCAGCCGAACATGGCAGGCCCACGGCACTACCACTGACATTCTTTGAAAAGTTTCATTACGTCAGCCTGAAATCATGCAGATGGTCAAGGTTGGAGCGTCGTAACGCAACAAAGTCCTTAATCTTCCTCATCCTCGCAATTAACGCTCTCATATTGATGGTTTTTGCTGATTATGCCATGTATCATGTTGTCATGACTACGGCACCCGCATTTTCTTATGACTTTGGTGACGCTGAACAGGTAGGAAGTTAATTGTCTTGTTACATTTTTTAAATTCATGGACGTGTGGGATTCGCCTTGGGCGTTGTGAATGACACAACAATACAAATTGGATTGTTAAATAAGGTTTTATGGCTAAAGAAGAAGGAGCAGTGGATAGAATGGCATTGCAAGAATAATACTATTGTTACTACGATGCTCATTCCAACATTGGAGGCATGAGACAAAGACCGTGACATTAATATTTATTTATTTGTTTAATTAAGCCCATTTCAGTGGTTAGGGGGGTGTATTTTGTCACGCAAGAACAACGAAAACACTCCATTAAGGTTGGCTGAAATGAAAGTACCCATCAAAGTTGGTGGAATAAATTACGTCAGTATGGGGTTATTTAGCCAATACGAAGCTTGTCTCCATAATTATTGCTAAGAGGAATAGCAACAAATGGGATTAATCTCATTGCAAGTATGGTGGAAAAAAGGGTGTGGGTTTTTAACAATTAAATAAGGGCCAAAGTGAAGGAGATATAAAAGTCAGAACTAATTGGCCATTAGAGCTAACTGGGATTAATCTCATTAGTGGGAGCGAACTGTCCGCCCTGGTGATGGTCACACCCACACACACACACACACACACCCATCCCAGAGCAGCTGAGGCATTATCTCAAGATTGGAAGTCGGAGTACCAGTACACGTTTTGTTCGTAAGTACAATGATGGGAAGTCCGTTATGATTTCTTTACTGCAGTCCTCCCTTGAAAAAAAATAAGTCCAATGGTGAAAATGGGTGTAGAAAACCCTAGGGAGAAGAATGTTACCCTGTTGCAGGAATGGTAGTTAAAAAAAAAGATTTGGCAATCGGTATGATGAATTATGACAATTTAATTATTTATATCAAATGGCAGGCTTTATGATAGTTATCATTAAGCATTTAGTTGACTTTGGGCTTCACAGAGGGAAGAAAAGTTAAAGTGATAAAAAGTGGAGTGGAGAGGGGAATAGAAGAGTGATTCACAGATGTAAAAGAGGCAGACAGACAGACACATAGGTACTGTGGAAGTGGTGGAATATAACATACAGTTGGGTTATGTTAGTTTTAAATCAAATACCGGTCTATAGACTTTTTGGCGTTTGAATATACGTTGCCCAGGATGCATTACACGGAGGTAAGTCTCTCGCGCACCCCACAATTTTATTATTGGGATGTCTAATTAAATAAATAATTAGAGAATGCGTATGAATTTACAGATGTACTAAAATTTGTAGGAACACGATGTAAGTTCACCAGATGGTGGTAAAGGAGCAAAGGAATCGATGGCACCGCAAATCGACGGAAATTCTTCCATGGCTGATATTTCAAGGAGTTTTCTTCAACTGGCAAATCCTTTAAAGGATATCGCTTTCAGTGTCGATGCTTCCATTTGTCGACCAAAGGCTTCCGAGCCAGATCATCAAACGACAATAATTATACTCTGCGTAATGGCCTTCACTCTAATCAGTGTCGTCATTGAGGTAAAATATCAAATGCTCGTTTATTACAAATATCGATTCTTTCGTCAACTTTAGTTTCTTGCCTTTTATTTACTACTGCTATGCTTATGCAAAGTTCTATATGCACAGGCTAGGTTAGGGTTCACTTAGATGACCCACCGTTTTACACTCTAGTCGTGAAAGTTTAAAGTTGATGCAATGCACCCTTATACTTATATATATATAAGTATATATATATATATACGTTTTATATTGTCAAGATCAAATTATTTGATCAGTCACTTAGCGCACCCGAGTTAGTTAGATTAGTATTGTCAGGGAGAATTTGCTGGAGAGGAAGTAGATCTAATGGAAGATTATAGCACCTAGCCATGGTACAAGATAGCCTTTATCATTGAATAATTAAATCAATTTAAGAGCACTTTAACTTTTTAACAGGTTTACGTTCTTCGATTTCGACATTTGATCATGGCCTGGTACTATCCAACGGCTGCCTTACGAAGAGCAGCATGGCTTCGGACTTATATTCGAAATAGACGCGGTCTCTTTCTTCGTCTTATTCACAGAATGCGTTCTAAGAAAAAGAAACGCGATGGTGATAAAAATCATGGCAAAATGGGCCTCTTTGATTGGTTCCTCTTCTCCCATCCCAAACTGGCAAAATACATAAAACTAGCTGGAATCAGCCGTGTATTCTGCGCCCAATGCGCTAATCCAGGAAATCCTAACAAGACGGATACCTTTCAAGAAAAGTTCACTCAATGCCCTAGGTGTGGAGTGTTCTACTGCAATCTCTGCCAATCGGACTTGAAGGGTATATGTGCGAATTGCAATGTTCCCTTGAGAGTAAAGTCCGTGGACGCGGATTTTGAAGTGTGCTCCTCGGATGAGGAGTACAACTACTTTTACAATCGTTACTTCAATCGGCGCAAACACGACGCTTATAAAATACCCAAATGTCCTCCAAGCATAGAGGAAACTATTTGGCCTTATTCAACAACTGTGAACCCAGAGCTTATTGAAAAATTACAAGAGGTGATTGAGAGGAGGAAAAGTTTAATAGAACAAGAGGCAATGATGAAAAGAGGATTAACGGGAAAGGGACTTTCGGCATCCTCAGTGCCCTACACAACAACAACGGATACAGGAACGAAAATGTCTACAATTATCAGTACAGTAAATTCCCATGTGACAAAGCTTAAAGAGATGGCGCAAGATATTAGTAGAGAGATAGAATCAAAAATGCAAACTGACCATAAAGCAGATCCGTCTTCTATCTTTAATAGTTCCAAACCGTCAGCATTAACGTCTTCAGAGACGTCTTCTGATAGAATCAAGTTTGAAGGACCCTCTATTTCTTTACCTTCAGAATTGTCAGAGGGTACAATGTTGGAATCCGGAATTACTCCCTTTGAAGATACAGGGAAAGAGATTCAACTCTCCACACCGAAATTTAGTTCAATTTCAAACGATATCTCTTATCTCAAACCTTTAAGCTCAGTCAAGGATTCGAATATGTGTGTGAATTTTTCAAGCATTGGTGGAATAAGCTCACTCAACTGCTCCTCATTAAATGCTCCTGACAATTTCCAAAAGCATATGCAGGTTGATCGTGAATTTCAGGAATTATACTTTCTTCCAAGGAAGAAATGTGATACGAATAAGTCAAATGCTTTCACTTTCAAGAACTCAACTGCATCTGAGTCAACTTCTGGTCTAAGTACAGGCCCATCAAGTATTCTTACTCTAAATAAGGGAACCACTAGGAACAGATCTATTGTGGAGAGGCAATTGAGCCCTTTAATGGAAGAAGGTGCTAGAAAGTTTACTTCACATAGAGATCGTGAAATATCTGGCATTCAGAGCAAGGATTTACAAGTGACTAATCCCAATAGGCCTAAATTCCACAAGGCCACTAATAATAACACAAATCAAACTTATCTCTCATCAACTAATCTAAGACCACGCACAATAAATAATAGTAGTGATGGAAACTTGGTTTCTACGGTGGTGTTTTTTAAAACACCAACCTCAAATGAACGTTCAGGCAATAACGATGCCAATCAGAACACAAATAATTCAAATAAACATGCAGAAACCTGTTTACGCCTTCAAAAAGAAGATGAGGAGAAGGAGGAGGAAAGAGTGTCAATAGACATTAGAAAAACGCCGTCTTTGCCTTTATTGAATTATTCTGGGGATATTTTATCGAAGCAACAGGATACAAACAGCTCACCAGATATCTCTGTTTCTGATAATGAGAGTACTTTGAAGTTCAGAGGATATTTCAAGAAAAAACCGTCTGATCGGTAGGAAGGTGTTGACAGTGATGAAAATGGCTTCTGGGATTCGCAAAATGTTAAATGGTGACTGCCTGAGAGTTTGCATTTTTAAATTTCAGAGATATTACGTAAACGTTGTGTTTTAATGTTGTGGAAAGTGAAGAGAGGTGATACCTAAAATACTTTTCTTTATACTCCAGTTGATTAAAAAATAAGAATGAATGTTTAACCCTTTAATTACTACATATCCAGAATTGAATAATTTTAAATTAATGGGAAATGTGGTCAGTCCTAATGTAACCATATGCATTAAGAGTACTTATCTAAAGTACTTTGTCAAGGTTGACCTGCATATTTGTCAAGTTATGAGTTCACGAGATCCTATCTCTCAGTCCACATCCAGCAACAGGAGGAAGAGTGGTTTGCGAATTCTTCAAGAGGGGCTCAAATTTACCACTCATTTATTCAAGTCAAGTTCTGCACGCATCTTCCTTAATGACGACATTGTCTTACAAGGAAGACTCCGTGATGTTTGCCACCTACTCAAACTTAGCTTTGAAAAAAATTCCTCTAAAATTGGCTTGGAAGTTTCCATTGACTATTGAAAACCCATTTCCCTATCCTATGGCATTTTTTGATTTACTATTATGGGATTTTTATATAAAGAGAAAATAGTGAGGTGTTAAGTGAGAATTGAAGTAGTTCGATAAGAAACAAAGTCAAGAGCCCATGATAACTACCAGTGCATTTTGGAAAGGCTGAAGACTGCTGTAAGTAAGCCCTGGTTAACGAATGAGGGGTAACTAATACTATGCCATAAGTATGATACCCTGGGATTTAACCCCTTGAGAAAAAGTAGTTGCCAGCTAATTTTAAAACTGCACCAACCCAAATGTATAATTGACCTCCTCCCTATGGACTATTATGTACTAATAGCCTTGACCATACTCTAAAATCAACCAATTAATCAACAGATTCCAACCAGTTGCCGGGGTAGGGCTGAATTAAGGCCTTGGTAGAAATAAATGTCAGTTTTTCGAATAAAACGCCTTGGTAGTAGGGAAAATTCCCTTTCTGACGAATTTCTTACTGTCTATTTACCAACCACGTTTCTTGGTATGACTATCAGAGTTTTCCAAACACTGTAAGTATGACATTCCTATGCTTCAGTACCACGTGAAAATCTTGTTCTGAACCCTAGATATTGATAGGTCTCAATTCACGGTCGACTGAAGAGAACACGAGAGAGGTGTGCAGTTACTCCTATTTATAAGAGAATTTAATTTATGACTTTCCCTATAACGAGTTTGTCTGTACTAACAGTCCCGGTACTCGGACCAGCATACACCCACATATGAATTTGTTAGGGACCACTCCAAGTACATTGCTCATCAGTGGAAATCACCTAGACTCTGCGATCTTATATTGGTGTGCCATTATCACTTCTTACTGTTAACCACTCCTGTTTGTCGATATTTACTATTTTTGTTTCTTTTTACTGTAAAAAGAGCTTTACTCTCTTCTATCTCTGATTTACCATTTCTTCATTAGATTGCCTGTCGATTTAATGGGCTTTCTAACTCCTGTATATTGAGTTTCCCTCTGTTGTATTCTTGCTATCTTTTTTTCAATTTTCAAACGCCTTTAGGAACCGCAGTCGAAACAAAGGTTTGTTAGAGAATAAATAATAGAAGGAAAGAATCTACGTGTCAATAAGCAGATGGAAGATAGAGAAATGGACTGAGAAGTGGGTAAAAAAGCAAAAGGACGAGTCCTTCTTTCAGAGTTATGGCTCCTCCTCTCTACAGTCGCATGGAGGTTTTGATCGGGCGCTTCATCTTATACTTTACCTGCACCACTACTTAACTTGTTTGCAGTAGTTTGATAGCCTATCTTAAGCTGTAGCTCCTTTTTTCACAATGCGGAACCCTGGTAAATTGTCTCCCAGACTCAAATATTCTCAGCATATTGTCCTTGGAACAATCTTTTCGTTAGCGCACTTTCGTAGACCATATCAGCTACCTTCATCGTCCGCTATTTAAGAACTACTAAGTTTAATGAAGGGACAACCTACCTTTGCAAAGTAGAAAGTTGTTGCTTGAGTATATCTTTTCGTTCTTTCTGTTCAAATTGAGTCTTCGATTTTTTTGCCAGTTGAAAGGCCAACAGAACCAAAGTAATTTGCTTACCGTGTATACTACCCACTAAAATTTAAGTAGTAATTACTTCATTAGCAACTTTATTTAGCGTTCAAAATTGGAAAATAATTAAAGGGGTAACTACCAAAGTGATAGTAACTTAATTTCATAACACTGAATGTAGCATTACCAACACAAGTTAAAGAATGCGATCACTTAACTCAAAGCATACCATTTTATTATTATACCAGACTAAATCATTGGATATGCAAAAATGAATATCTAACAATTGATCTCCGAATTTGTAGTTAAGCACGTTATTCACAGTTTCATTCTTGGATGCACTTGGGCTGTATCTATCGCACATAACATTAATAGATTTGAACAATAGACGCAATCGAGAACACATGGAAAGAGTAAAGTTGTACATGCAAATAGCATTTAATAACACAGAAAAGTGACACAAGAAAACACGGTAACTCTAAGAATGCCTTCACAAGCATTATAGACCCAATAAACCCTGAAGAAAGGTTTCTATAAAAATACCACTTTCTGAATAACAATTGAGAAGAAATAGACCAAGAGGAGGTTTGTGGGTATAGATATATATTTTAATAATAACTATGTCAATACATGTAAGAGATGTGATTTATCTCCTCTACTGATTTGAAAGGAATTTGCTAAGAAAGTCTTTGGGCTTTTCTGTAGCTGTTTCGTCGAAGTACTGCATGATATGTGTGTCCGAGCAAAACATATGAGAAGCTTCAAGCAAATCCATTTGACCCTGAAAAGAATACAAAGTGGTAATCGTATAATAAAAAATATAAAGGCAAGCGATTTTACATACTCGATGTACGAGAAGATCAATAATACGGATGTCCTTCACATCTTTATTTTTCATAAATTCTTCTCGTAATTTTTTCTGAAGTGCCGGAACATTTGCTGACACGTAAGTGTAACCGTACTCCTTTACAATGAAGGGTAACTGACGATACCAAGCGCGATAAAGATTCAGAACTCGGCGCTTGGCTTCCTCTGGCGTTCTTGAAAGAACTGCACGAGCAACCTTGAAGCCCTTTTGGGTCATTTAGCTAAAAGTCCTAGAAGTCAAATCTTCGAGCTTAATGAGGACTTAGCATAACACACTTCAGATTTAAAAAATATATCTTAAAAATATATTATTAAAGTTGAGTTATGTCAAATAAAATTTTATGCAAAACTTTTTTAATATATTATACATATACTTTTCAAAGTAATAACTAATGCACAACTATGTTTGAAATAGAAGAAAATCCATATTCGATTTCCTGCAGATACGACATAAAAATCGTGAATATTTACCTTTAAATTTTCAGATCTTTTCATCAAAATAAATTACGACAGAATTAAGACATTATTATGCGAGCTAAAATTCATGAGTCGTCTTTGGATTAAATTTACCCAGGCTCTCATCTATTTCATGATAATGCCAGTTATTTATCTCCTTTCTTTCGGCATGCATAATTCTTGAGTTTATTCAGTTATATATATTATTAGCAAAGAAACTATGTCCTCACCGAAATCGTTTAAGTTGCTTTTTGGACGTATCAAGAGCCCATTCACAAATAAAAACAGTGAACGCTGGTTATCAGCAAATAACAACTCATCAAGAGACAAAAGTCTCCATCGATAAAGGTGTCTTATGAAATTGGAGGAAATATCAAACCAGTTAACTTGAAATCGCAAATTTCACTTCTACTTTGCCTGTTTAATTAAGTATATAATGGAGCTAACTAGGAAAAGCCATTAAAGCTAAATATTTGAGAGCATTGAAATCCAAAATTTTATTTAAGTTTAATTGTGCATAAACGGCAATAAGAATAAAATTTTCATGGCAAATTTAGTTTGAGATTTCACAAAAGCTTCGGGAGCTTCGTCTTTTCAAACTCATATTTAATATCTCTTATCGTTGAATGTTCGTTCAATTTATACCTAACCAACAAAGGAATGAATAATTCAGATCCATGGTGGCCATAAATATATCTAATATTGAATATATCTACAAGTTAGAAAATGATATTTACGGATAATTAAATTTCGCAGAGTAAATCACTAAGACTCAATTTTCACAAAATCAGACGGTATACTTCGTGGTTTTGCTGAAACTAAGATCGAAACGAGATGCAAGAATGAATAAATTCGCAAAGTATGAGTCATTAAAAGATCTCAAGTTCATCTAAAACTAGAATTTTCTCAATGCTTTGTCTAGCAGGCATTTATTTCACAATCATTCGAGATTTCAATTAACAAATCTAAAATAAAAATATGTCATAAGGTAGTTCGAATTGAGTATTATGCTCCTGTTATTGACAGGATAAAGCTCTCTGAAATGGTTAATTATTATCGACAAAGTTGGTCGATTTAAAAAAATCTACAATTCTGAAGTAAGCAATAACTGAAAAACTTACAAATCAGAATTGCATTTCTATTGTAAGAAAAATATTTAAAGGCCATGATTAATAGTTTAAACTACATCTTTTTCGCGCACCAATTATAATTGTGAAGTGGTTCATCACGTTGTGTCGGTGCTGCATTTTCTATTAAGTAAATTTGACTTTTATCATTTCTGTAATTTCCCAGAATGAATCAGGGTGTATCAAAATTGGCCAAACTTCTTGCATCGGATGAGCTAAAAAATCGCAAAATTGGATACAAGTATGCGTGCGAGCTTTTGAAACTTCATCCTGGTACAGATGATGGGGCGGTATCTTATATCGATATTCTGGGTGTTTGTAAAGGACTTTACTACAGTCTTTGGATGCAAGATAAACCACTTCTTCAGGTTTGCGTTATTTGCTTTCAATATTGTCTTTTATTTAGGAGGAGGCTGTTGCTAGAATCGTAAAATTAATAGGCATAACGAAAAATCGAGATGTTCGTTCCATGTACGTTAAGGGAGTGTTTGCCACTTTAGCTACAGAATGGGAGGGTTTGGATTTTTGGCGTCAAGATAAATTTATGATGGCAAGTTTTCTTTTTTCTCCTTACTATTATAATGGCTTCAAGTACATGACTAATATGTGTTTTACTTTTAGCTCGTGAGAGATTTTCTCGTTAAATGCATTGTCTCGGTGAAAAAGAGAGTTCTTGGTCCCGAAATCGTTGCTAGCTCAATTTTCGAATCAATTCTAAACTCAGATTTTAACTCAGCTGTGGATTTAAAACTTCACTTAATTATTGTCTTGAAGGAAGAGTTGCTGAAAGCAGGGGTATGTTGCATTCTCCAGTCTTAATATTGTTTAGGAAGTCCCATCGCTTGTCAACGCCTTTTTTAAACACACGCTTGATAGTGTTCAAAAAATGCCGAAGGGCAGTGTGTATGCTACTGATATGATTACCCTCCTTACCTTTTTGGCTAAGGAAATGCGTAATCATCCCAAGGTAGGATTCAATCCATGTTCCTGTATTTCGTTTTCAGTTTCCATTTGGTAAAATCAGTGAAGAACTACTTGTCCTATCTACGCAGTTTCCATTATATAGGAAAACTTTCCTCAGAATTTCCAAAATGTATTTTCCACATTTTAACTTTATTGTCTGCTTTCTAGTCTTCATGTAAAGAAATCTCAACTAAGCACTATGGAGATAAAATTGGCACAAAGGTCCACTAATGACGAATCTAAAAGGTAGGTTTTTTTCTCAACTAATGCCATTCTTTCTAGTTCGCTTAGTAAGAAGTCTCAATTGAACGGTGAAGCAAAAAGGAATGTCACAGAAGTCCCTCAAAGTGCTGAATCCGAAATGTAATTTCTATTTTGTCTTTTGCATTTTTTCTAGTTTGTCTGCCAAAGAACCTCAAGTAAACGGTGATTACAAAAATTGCTCCAAACTTACCCCCAAAGTTGATTCTACTGAAGCATTGACTGATAAATCGAAACCTAAAAATCCCAGGAAGAGAAAATTGACAACTGACTCTCCTGTTTGTTCTAGATTGCTATATTCCTCTTTGAATTTTTTTCATCGAGTTATGCTCTCTATTTGATGTTCTTTTTTCAGAACCCTAATGAAGAATCTTCCAAAACGAAACGGCTCAAGGAGGAGGGCAATTACGAGAACGAAAGTGGGCCCCAAATTGAGAATATAAATGGGAAACAATCAGTATGACTACATGTGTTCTATCTTCTTTACATTAGATATTCTCTGTACCAGTTTATCTATCAATAAAGCTATGTAATTAGCATTCAATGTCTACTTTTGCGGTAGTTTTAACGAGCTTTTTGTAAAATAGATTGAAGTGGATGTGGAGCTTAAGGAAACCGGTACAACTCTATCCGCCTATTCCGCTCCCCTCAAATATTCAAATTTTAATATCTTGGCGGCCCCGACTAATCTCCAACAATTAGACATGTCAATTCTGGATTGTTTGAATGAGGTTACGCAGTCTAAACGTGTCTCTTTCGGAAAGGTCTTCTGTAAAAGTGAGCTCCTTCAATTTGCTTCTTTAACCCTTCTACCCAATTTTTAGAATTTTCGTCCACCAAGAAACTTCCTGCTAAGCCTATTTCAATTCTTACGCCCCCCAGCCGAGGAATCCTTCGAAGATGAACATGTAAATGGACATTTATGTAAAATGCCTTTGTGTATATTCAGATGTCTATGTGTTCTATTTATATGGACCTTTATAATTTCATATCTTTGAATTTCCTTTTGCGTTATCTGAATTATTTGGTGTGGGTGTTAATCCCAGGTGGCTTGTTGTGGTTGTGACTGTTTTGCCAGTCTTTACGTCAAAATTTACATTGGTTTGACGATATGTGCTTCCATTTCCTTATATGAACATACATATATATATATATATATATATATATAT